AGAAGATCTTTTGTGCGCAGATGGCGGCACCGGTACAGCCGTTGCCAGGAGAATCGGGGAGACGAGGGCTGCATTCCACACTTTGAAACTGGTATGGCGACATACCAACATTTCACGAAGACGAAGACATCATAAGCAAGCTGACTTACAGAATAGAGGCGCTCTGCCTCAAGAGAGCCGACCAGGACAAGCTCGATGCCTTTCAAGCGCAATGCTTGCGACAAAGATTGGGCATACCACACTCCATGGTGTCGCGGGTCACGAACGCAGAGGTGCGCAGACGAGCGCTAGCAATGACTTTGAGCCAAACAGTTTTGTTCCAGCAGCTGCTGTTTTTTGGAAGGATCGCGGCTATGCCGGACTCGCTTCTCAGACGCACGATTTTCAGCGCTGGAACCGTTGAGCCTGCCGGACTGAATGTGCCAAGGCGGAGAGGCCGACCCCGTCTGACATGGGGCGCAGTGGTCAAAGCGCACTCCCTTTCAGCGATACAGGGCCTCCCCCCTCCCTGTCCTCGTCCTCCTCCTCTCCCTCCTCCCGCCCCTCAGGAACGTGATTTGCAATTTCTGTCCTGCGAACTGTAGCCAGCAAGTGTGGAAGACAATCGCCAGAAGGCACGCCTTTTCCTGAACTGTCCTTGCATTTCTGTGCCGTGGTATGGACGTGCGCCTCCAGCCGCTGGCCCTTCTTCAGCCGATGTGTCGTGCAGACACGGCGTTATTGATTGATTGACCGACCAGCGTGTAATCAGGATCCTATCTCGACGTGACCCCTCAACGTATTGAGCACCGACAGCCCGCTTCATGGGGGGAGTGGGAGGACCAAATGGGCTAAATGCAAAACGACTGAGGGTCATGGGGAAAGGTAGCTGCACGCCAGCCGTCAGGCAATCAGTCCGAGGCGCTGGGGGGGCAGGGGACGACGGCGCGGGCGGGGCGGAGAAGGACAGAGACGACAGAGACAGCGAACATGGGCAGGCGAGACGAGCGTTGTGCTGTGTAGGCATCATCCCCTCGAACCTTCTCCGCCTCCGTCCTTGTCCTCCTCCCTCCATGCTCCTCTTCCTGTTCCCTCCTCCTTACCCTCCAACTCCTCCTCCTCCTCGTCCTCGTCCTCCTCCTCCTCCTCCTCCTCCTCCTCCTCCTACTACCACTACTACTACTACTACTACTACTACTACTACTACTACTACTACTACTACTACTACTACTACTACTACTACTACTACTACTACTACTACTACTACTACTACTACTACTACTACTACTACTACTACTACTACTACTACTACT